CTGTTTGAATTAATTGTTCATATTCGTCACATTTGTAACTGGATCCTTTGTAACTTCAGTGTTTTCAATATGTTTTTATCGCACTTTGGTTGTTTGGATTGTTTGTAGCTGCCTCCACCAGTGTGTGAATGTGAGAGTGAATGAATAGTGGTATTGTAAAGCGCTTTGGGTGCCTTGAAAAGCGCTATATAAATCCAATCCATTATTATTATTATTATTATTATTATTATTATTATAATTCTGGAAAGATCTTAAAAGTGCAGAAACTGGTGAACAAATGACTAAACTGTGTTTCTTTTCTGTGCAATACTTTTGTAAATAGTCAACAGTGCAATAGACCTCAATACTTGAAATGTGCAATTCACTTGTATTTTTATTTTTTATTCCTATTTATTCTATTTATCCCCTTCGTATATTTTATTTATATTGTCTCTGTATTTATATATATGTGTGTGTGTGTGTGTGTGTGTGTGTGTTATATATATATAATATTCTGTAACTGTCTGTCGGTGCTGTGCTTTTTTGGAAATCGAATTTCCCAGAGGAACCCACCCGAGGGATTAATAAAGTTCTATCTAATCTAATCTAATCTAATCGAATCTTTGATTCCTTTTAAGTTTGAACAACGTTCACACACTCACTTTACCCACTGCCATTGCTGTAGTGTTCATTTTCTTTGCCTTTACATTAATCTTCATCCTCATCAGCTGCTGTGTCTTTCCCTCCTGCTGCCTGTACAAGAGGTTCCGACAGCCACGGCGTAAGTACTCCACCACTAACAACTGATACTTCCTTATTTTAGAGTGATCCTTTAAATCCTGAGTATTGGACTCTTATGTGGACTCAGACTGAATGGTCACCCAAGTGTTAGTTGAGTTTAAAGTCTCTGCAGACAAGTCTGTGCAGTCATAGAAAACTGGCAGGCACACGGATGTCCACATGGACCCTCATGCTCACTGTCCTATGATGAAATTTACATCAGATTGTGTACGTCAGATCCAAAGGGCCTTGCAGACATGGGAAGGATAATCAAGGCCTTAAATATAGAGTTGCGGGCTGTTATTTTGTGCAAGTTTGACTGCCTTGTTGTTTAAAATGTTTCAGGGTCTCAAATTTGACTTTTTTCTGAGATTTATTGATTTTCAGATATCGATTTATTGGCGCGGCTCCTCATTTTATTAATATTTAGTGGCTAAAAGATCAGATAAAACCTAAAAAAAGTGCTTACATGACAACATTTGACTTTTTAAGAATTGCTTTAATTAACAAAACTTAATTTTCTGTCCATCGTCTATCAGAGATTAAAAAGACAACTAAGACAACAGCATTATAATCATCATTCACTGATAGAAAGTTTCATGTTCATTTATCAGGAGACATTTCAGCACACTGATTGTTTTGTTTACCTCCTGAATCAACTTGAACTGCTGCTGGTTCATATAAAAAATAAGCAAGTGGAGTTGAGTATCTTTGCTAAGGATACTTCGCCATGCAGCATCCATGGATTGATCCCCCAACCTTCCAGTTAGTAGATACCCTGAGCTACAGATCCATAACAGCATCTAAACTCATCTCTGCTACATTCATTATTTCATACATTTCATACATTCATTACTACTCATAAACCTTATCACAGCATTGGGAGAAACTTCTAATTTTATGGTGACAAGTTGCATTGTTTGAAACATTTCAGCAATGGCTGCCAACATGAAGCAACAGCAATGTTTTACCAATGATTTTGTAATAAAGGAATTGAGACACCGAACACAACCTGTTCTAATGTTTCAAACTACAATGTACAGTGAGTTGTCAAGCTCATTTGACATTTGTCCTGGTTTGGCTTATTAAACAACCTTTTGATTTTCAGTAATTTTCTTTTTGTGAGAGCGTAACCCACAGGTTGACGACTGAGCGTGCCATCAGCCTGTGGGATACGCACGCTGATGCTGCTTTGTTCGTTTCGCTTTAAGGGCCATGTCGTTACTTGACATCTGGGTCTGCTTTCAGTGCTTCAAGGTGCTTCGAAACAGCTGTGTGGGTGTTTTTGGTTGTTATCAGTTTTTCTATTAAACCACAACAGTGTGCTTATGTATTTTTTTCCTTCTTCTCTCAAATCTCAAGACCACAGCCAGCAATAAACTGATCCTGTTGAGTACTGTCTGTCTTCCCAGACGATTGTTACTGTTATTTCAAATCTAGTGTGGTTGGGTTGATAATTTGCACTGTACTTTCACAGAGATGGGTTTACACTCTGAGTATAATGATGGTTAATGGATGATTTTCTTCAAAAAGTATGAATCTCTGTGTATCTCATGAACAAATCATGTCATTGTTAGTTTCTTTGATGCAAACCTCAAGGAGATGATGATAAATGACTCAACTGATGCAATAAGTCAAAATCGCGCCATTTGCTGCTGTATTTTCTTTCATTGGTATTCAGTCTTTCTTCCTGAGAAAATTACTTATAAATAATAATACACATTGAAAGCTTTTTGGACAACAGGTGACATGTTTCTACATTTTCTGTTTTCTTGTACTTGTGGTAGCCGACAATACCCACACTACAGTGGTCACCACCACTCCTCAGCAGTACCCCCAGCAGCCGATTGCATTACCTGGACCCTCCCAGGGAGTGCCCTACCAGTCAGCAACTCTTCAGCCCTTGCTTTGCAGCTCAGTATGATTACCCAGCTCAGAGCCATGTCCACATCGCCCTATCATGGACAGCCATTCCCACTGGGACCACCTGGAAGCAAGTGAGAAAACTTTGCATCTGTGTAAATACTAATGGAAACACCCTGACAAACACCAAAAATGCAGAAAAAAGAAAAAAAAAAGGGAAAAAAATCGGATTTTGAATTCAAAGATCTCATAAATGTCTTAGCATAAATGTCCAAAATAAAAAGATATTTTAGGGTTGTAGATTTCTTTAGGAAACAGGGGTTTTAGGATAAGATAACTTATTACACATGCCACTCTCTAGAAACAAAAAACATTTTATTAGCAGATATCACAAATACATTTTGTATATTTTATTTTTTCAAAATATTTGTAATAAGATAATAGGGTGGAAATGCTGCTGCGTCATATTTATTGTTGTGTTGCAGAATTGCAGTTGTTGTTTGTGCAGGTGTGTCAAATCATTTTCAGTATGTTTGTTCTCATGCTTAGTTCACTTTCTGTTTCCAGTTGGTTCTGCCTACAGTTCACAGGCCAGGTTGAATTCACCCATGCACAGCCGACGTACCCTCTGAAACCTCTGGACCAGCAGCAGCCTGATGCACCACCTGCTAGCACAGCCTTCCAACCTCAGACTGCACCACCACCCTAGGCTGGATAGTGCACATATAAGTGCCTCAATCAGCGTTTGTGAACTCGGCTGAATTGGAAGTATGTACTTCGAATCAAGAGCTAGACTAACTTGGTATTTGTAGGAATGTTATGGTGCATTTTAATAGTTTCTAAGTAAAAGTATTAAAATTAGTTTTTTACTGTACTGTGTAAGTTCATGGGAACAAAATGAAAGTGTGTGAGTTTTATCACTGGAGGATTTATGCTGGAAAGTCAACCACTCATAGTTTAAAAAAAATCAAAATCAACTTAATTAACATCAACAATATTGTTTTTTATAATAATACAAGTATGTTGCACACATTAAATAGAAGAAACCATTGTGCCTTCCAGGCACATTACCTGCGAAAGCATGTGCGTAATTTACATTGCCTCCAAATATACGTTTCTGCTTTCTAACTGTAAATAACTGTCATCGTGAATGCTGTTGACTCAAATGATCCAAAATGGTTTGGGGTGCCTTTTTAAAAAAATAAATGCTTATTTCTGACGTTCTCACAACACGAACTCTTTTATCTTTGATGTTGTTTGAACTTATTAAAATTTATACAAGTGGACTTTTGTTTATGTGCTGTTTCATTTCTAATTTTGTGTAAAAAGAGGGGAAAAAAGAAAATGACTTGAAAAATCATTAGCACAAAATAGCTCGGTCACGCTTCTTACTGAGAAAAAGCGTTTGTAGGTAGTCATTTGTAAGAATGCCTTTATTTTGCATAGATTTTGCTTTTACAATTTCAGCTGAAACACCATCCGGGGCGATCGTGGCTCAAGAGTTGGGAGTTCGCCTTGTAATCGGAAGGTTGCCGGTCCGGCTTGGACAGTCCCGGTCGTTGTGTCCTTGGGCAAGACTCTTCACCCGTTACCTACTGGTGGTGGTCAGAGGGCCCGTGCCGCCAGTGTCCGGCAGCCTCACCTCTGTTAGTGCGCCCCAGGGTGGCTGTGGCTACGACGTAGCTTACCATCACCAGTGTGTGAATGGGTGGATGACTGGTTGTGTAAAGCGCTATACAAATACAGGCCATTTACCAGACAGCACACCATGCACATTCTCTAAAATGTTTTCATGTATCACTTAGGTACTGTAGAATATCCCCAAGACTGTTAGGCTACAGTACAACATCTGTTAAATCTGTGTTCAGTAACATCACAGAAACAGAAACTGGTGATCACACACTCACCGCCCATTTTTGAACAGACTTGGCAAGGTGCTGCATTCCTCTGAGACTTTGGCCCATATTGACACAATGGCGTCACACAGTTGCTACAAATTCATCCCAAAGGTCTTCTGTTGGGTGGAGATCTGGTGACTGTGGAGACCATATAAATACACAAAACTCCAGGATCATTTTTGTCTTTATATGGGGACTATGCAGATGAATAGAGCTGCCACCGCCACTAGAGGACCCCCAAACTGCATGTTCAACCTCAATATATTTTGGGAGTTTGAAAATGACCTGTCTTTATTTGTAGCTGGCTCTATAGCCACGTCACGTGTTTAGTGAAGCACTTCTATGACTAAAAATTAAATTTAGGTTAAAAAAAAAATCAAGCTTCAATGATACAGAGACTGTGTCCTGTGTAATCATTTTTTTGTTAGCACTTTGAGACTTTTTTCAAGAGAAATATCAAAGTCTTTGTATTGTTTTAAATGTGATCTTTATGTTATTTGCATATCACTGCATTCAGTAATTGTTTACATTTTGCACAGCGTTTCCAACCATTTTGGAAATGAGGCTATAAGATGGGGAAAAAAATAAACGCCTTAGCAGGGAAGTCTTCTGTCCATGTGAACACAAAAAAACATAACAAACAACAACTTTCCCTGTGTGCAAGGCTTAGTTTGTCAAATTGAATTAAATAATGAATTAACAACAGGTGGTCAAATTTTTCTGTCTGATTGATACACTAAGTATCCAGCCTATATGGCAGAACAAATTCCTGGTTGTTTGCCGAGCTGGCGAGGAAGTCTGAGCTGTCAGTTAGAGCATTGGACTGTGGCTGGGCTGGAGGCTTTGAAGGGCACTCTGGCTGGCTGGAAGATTGGTTGATTGGTTGCAGAGGATAGGTGGGACCAACTGGAAAAAGAGAAGTTGGCATGAGATTAAAAATGCCATAAGATCTGTAATGTAAGAATCAATATTATCTAGCAGCAATGTCCACTCTAGTGTCTGATTACAGTTACTCAGAAGAGCAGAAAATGCAAAATAACTCTGCAGACCTTTGACACCATTTACTCAAGGTTGGTGTGCAGTGCATTTCTGCAAGAACTCTGTGTAAGCCTTGCAGCATTCAACAAACTGATTGCTTAGAATAATAATAAATCATTAAAAAACATATTTTAGATCGATCGATCGATCGATAGATAGTGTTCAAATCCACACTCACTTGCATCCTGATACGATGGTGGTGGCGTAAATGGCTGTTCATGGCTGAGTGGTATGGTCATGAGCACAGCTTGATTGCCAGGCATAGCTGGGTAACCAGGGTGCCCTGGTACTGGCTGGTAGGGCACTCTCTGATAGGACTGAGGGGGTACTGGGTACTGAGGGTACTGCTGTGGATACTGCTGAGGTGTGGCAGTGACCAAGGTGTGGGTAGCAGCAGCCACCTCAGCTGTAAGCAAACAAATAACAATACATGAGAAATGTGGTACTTCTAAGTTATTTATAGCTTGGGTTGTTTTATGTGAATTGAATAATACAGCTATGATCTGAATTATTCAGGTGTGAGGGGGGAAAATTGCTTCCATAAACATTCTTCAACACTCACAGAAATAAAGATGATGAAAGACTGTTTAAAATTCTACTAATTTTATATCCTGTTTATGTTTTTAAAATCTGTTTATATCCAGTTCTTCTTGTACACATTAGGAGTTAAATGCATGGAACAAAGGTCAAGGAAACAGAAATCTCAGCTTTTGTTCTGACTATGAATACAGCCCTCAGATTAATAAATTATAAATGATTAATGTAAACATATGCAACTCATGTCAGGTTAAATCCTCATAATATAATAATATCAGACATACACAGCAAATACATGCTAGCTTTACTATGTTTGGCAGCGTCAAAGATTGAAAAATTTGGGGAAAAGGCCGCTGTGATGGGACAAAATTATCTCAAAAGAAATTCCGCTATTCTTTCTTTTTGTATCCAGGAGGACACAAATATATGAAAAATCAACAAACATAAAGAAACTCCAGTTGTTTAATGTCAGAAAGACAACAGCATTGTTTAGGAAAAAGCACTCACAGATCAAGTGTTATGCACTTAATGAGACAAATGATACCACTTCTCCCACTGGAGTAAATAACATGTATTGAAGGATGAACAAAAGTATTTAAAAAGGCCTGGGACTCTTTTTGGACTTCCTAAAAAACTTGGAAGTGAAAGAGATAACTTATGGATAGATGTTTAATGACCCGGCAGTATTTACTTTTGTTATATGTTCTAAACCAACTCAGAACCTTCTTTTTTGATTCCCACCACCCTCTGAAACACAAACTCAGGGTAATCAGGCAGAAAAGATTCCCTCTGAGCCAGAAGGGAAAGAAAAGAAACACATGGGTACAGAAAGTTCTTAAAACATGTGGTTATAACAACAGAAATAATCACATTACAAACAGAACAACACTGTCATTCCTTATGTAGCAGGTTTATCAGAGAAACTGCAAGCATGACATCCCAGTGCACTTCAAATCAAGCCTCACCCTCAGACAAAAACAGATTGATCCCAAGGGCAAGACTCCAAAACACAAGCTAAACAACATAGTGTACGCTGTGCAGTGCAGCGAGGAGTGGAGAAATCAAACAGCCACTGCATAAATGCATGGCACAAAATAAAAGAGACACCTCAACAGTACAAGACTCTGCATCTAAAGGTCAAAGGTCACTCTTTTGAGGATGCCAGTGTTGACATGCTGCACAGAGAAGACAGATGGTTTGAAAGATGAGTGAAAGAGGCCATCTACGTCCGCTGTGAGCGACCATCTTTGAACAGAGTGGGTGGCTTACAAAACCAAACTCTGCCACCCGCAGTGCAGTTTTGACATCCCTTCTACGCGCTTCAACCCTGACATCTTGCATCAGGTGACCTCAGTAAACCACATGACAGGGTGAGGCAAGGTCTCATAGTGCTTTCACCCGAAACCTCTGGTGATAACGATGGAAACCTTTTTTACACCTTTGCTCATGTGATGATGCACATGATTAATAGTGGGTCAACAACCGTCCTGAGGGGCACCACCACCAGAGTTACCTGCTCCACCTTTTGGTTTTAGAACTGAAGAATCCTCTTGGATGAGAGCGGAAACGTCTTCACAAAACAGTTTGGAAAACTTTCTTTCCAAGCCCCTTGGACTACTGTGACCAGGATGACTGAGATCCTGCACAACCAAACGTGTTTTTGTCTTTATGATTATGTAGTTTTGAAGTATGTAGACTGGTATAGGATTGCATATTTTAATTTAAAGCCGATTGTTTGATTAATAGAAAGAAGAATATGTTAGTTAACATGGAATATCAGTTCCTGACGCTTACAGACAAAACAAACCCATTTGAATTTTCACAATCTAAATAAGCTCTCTGAAACATAAATTAAGGATTTATCATTTATATATTCACATCAAATAAGCTATTTAGACCTTATGAATTGATCTACAGTTCAAAATGTATTGTATACTCTTATTAGGAGGGAATTCACATTATGAAGACATACAATAAGAACATCATGTAAGGGTTAAGTGTGTAGAGAATCAGAGAAACACTGGGGATTCTTTATTATCATACTCAAAATATGAATTCATCTGTGTTTAAGTACAGTGAAAATGAAAGCATGAACCAAGAAAACAAAACTGGTGGGAAAAGAGGTTGTTTTCAACACAACATCAGTCATCACAACCACTTCCTGTAAATAACATTTATTGCCTAGTTAAGAAAGTTAAGAGTTTCAAGGTTACAAATATATTAATGTATGAGGCAAACATTTCGAAAAGCTCATAACAAAGAAGAATTCATCACATTTTGTTATGTTCTAAAGCTGTGAAGATTTTTAAATAGCCTTGTTTGCTGATGGACATCTACACATAAATATCGACTAAGATCAACTCTTATGTGTTATCTTAAAGAATGAACAGCAAAAGTTTAACAGCGGGGCAGAAGAAACAAGATGCTCAAGACAAACTGGAACGTCTGCTGCTCAGAGGCAGAGCTGTTCATTCTTTGCACTGACCACAATTCATTTGCAGGAGCATTAAAAAAGAAACAGCAGAAACCACAACTAAGCATAGCACACAGTGTGTTCACACCTGTCATTTCTATTTATATTCTGGGAAAAATAAATAAAGCTCACTATGGAGGGTTTATAGTGAATGCAGCATCAATGCTAGCTCAGTGGGTGTTTTAATAAACCAAAGTGAAAATGTTCTATCGTTTTGTTGCTTTCAGTGGAAATACTGAAGTCAACATTGGTTCCAATTTCCCCACACAGTCTCTGGCAATTTACTTCCTTAAAAAAACAGCCACAAATCACAAATTTCCATTTCTTTTTTTTTTTTTAATTTCATCTGTTAGTTCACATCTGAATTTTATTCAGAATTTTTCAGAATTTGAGAGAAAATAGTGAATTTTTCAGGATGACTTTCAGTAATTACTGAGTGTGGTGATTACAGGATGAACAGATATAAACGGCAGTTTCCATATTTCCCATAGGTATAAAATAAGTGTATGATGAACTGAATTATTGGTTGTGGTATTTTGATGACATTTAACAGAAGAAGGGAAAAAAATAGACACGCACAACAAACGACTGCTGCACCCACACAGCTGTTTTGAAGCACCATAAGAGGTCACTGAAAAAGCAAAGGTTTAGTCAAAAAAGAACCTTAATGTCAAATGAGGAACTTCACAGCTCAGCAAAGTTAGCAAATCCTCTGTATGTATGTTATTACCCTCTGTATGATGCTGTGATTTTGACACGTTAGATCAGTTTGTGCTCTGTGTCTCAGTTCTTGTGTTTCTTGTCAGAGCAAACCTCTGCAGTAATGAAAGTCATGTGGTGGGTGAGCCAACAGACTTCAAGGGTAGCGTTTCAACCCTGTTCTCATGCAGGTGACCTACAAATGTGCAACAGCACATTGCTCAACATCTTCACCTGCGTACAAGCTGTCGATAACTATTAATAATAGGAGTGATGTGGGTCAGGGTGAGCTTGTTCTCAGAGTTTGCAGACATACTTCATCTGTTTGAGTGTGACTGATATTTCAGTTTTGTGTATATTTTATCATGCAGAAAGGATGTAAAATCCAGTATCTCCTTTATTTTTCAGTGTTTGACTCGTTTTTTCTGACATGGTGCTATTCACTAACTGAGAACATTCCTCCATTCAAAGGAACTGGGCTGCCATTTTTATACAACTAGTACTGGTTTCTTTACTACTTGTCACTTGTTGTGCTTAAATACTGTTCTTTAACATAAAATTAAGTGACTCCTTACATGTTTCAGATCATAACTGACGTGGTTTGAAATAGTTCTCGACTTAGTCTGGTCCTGAATTATATGAGCAGATTTCCTAAAGGAAAATTTGAGGGACTCAACCTTATGGATGGTTGGGGGGGTTTGGAAAGACCCCAAGTTGCTCTCTGATGCAATTGGGTGCGATGGTTCATGCGTACACTGGCATGCCTACCTTTGTTTTTATGACAGCGCAGACCTGTTCGCAGAGACTTTACATCACAATGCTCAATGCATCTCCAGCCATCCATGTTAACATCCACAGCAGAGCGTAATCAATGCTTAACAAATTCCCTACCACACATACACGTCCACACAAAAGAAAGTATCAGCTGTTGGCCATGGAGTACTTACAGTTTGGATTGCCAGCGCTCCTGCACAGACAGCTGCAGGTGAAGAAACAGCACCAGAAGACAATGCCGAGTATAACGTAGAGTAAGTTAAAGTCATTCATGACAGCAATAACAGGGAGAAGTGGAAGTGTATGATGGGAGTTCAACCTGAAAAGAAAACAAAGAAATTATTGTGCAAAACATTAAACAGAAGAAGAAATTGTTACATTGAAAAGAGTCATATTTTAACCAGCTAACAGTTTGTATAGGGGTGGTGTCAGTGTGTGCTCCTTCCTCAGTCCAGTCCTGTATGATCTTCTGACAAGATCTGCTTAATATCCTGAAAGTTGAAGGCTTGTACTCCTTATACTTTTGTTTTGATTCTTGCCTGGCTGACTGTCGCATAGTTTGTTCTCACTTTTCATTTTGACTCCTACAAGATCCCTTTAAATATTACTGGGAAAGGCACTTTCCCCCCCTGACTTTTATGGAGGCCCTCTTTAGTAGCCTGGAGAATAACAGTGTGCAATTTTCAGTACTTCCAAGCACAATGAAATGACAATAGTTGAAATAGCACAACCTGCACTAGATAGAGGTTGCTACATGCAAACAAAAAACTAAATTCAATGTATTTTAAGTCATATCAAGGCCAGGAGGAACCCTGTCAATCCTCCAGCAGGCATGTAGAGACACATAGTTTAGGAAAGTTAGCGATAATGTGGGAAACAATCGAACAAACAACAAACCCCCACCACCAACAACAAAAACAACAACTCTGTGGCTCAACCTTTAGGTGGACTTCAGGTTTCACGTCCTGTTTCTCAACACCAATCGGAGTTTACAACACGCATGCACACACACACCTCTCTGTTCCTCTGCTGTAATTGCACATAGAGAAAAAGGGGGAAAGGGAACCATTTAAAAGAGAAATGATTTACCTTACACGACTGTCTTAAGGGTGATTTATTATCGATTGCAGGATAAAATAGAAAAATAAACAAAGTTGCTATTTTTTTTTTCTTGTTCGACTTGACAAAGTGCTCCTCGTTAAAAAAAACAAAAACAAAAAAAAACATACATTTAAAGGACAGGAGATGGAAATATCATATAAAAGAATTAGTTATTAGTTATGACGATTCACTGCTCAGCGTTGGTTTTAAGAGGTTGTTGATTCAACTTGAGTTCCGTTTCAGAGGCTGTGGTTCTGAGCGCTGCTGAACTGCACACAGAAAAGTAAGGTGGAAACCCCCCCCCCAATGTTATAGTGTTAGTGAAAGGTTTAAAACACAAACGGTAACGTTAAAAAAAATAACCTCACTGGCATCGCACCAATAACGGACTGCTTTTATTTTCGGTTTTAAGCCAACATCACAGACTGCATGAGACAGATGAGCTGATGCTGACAAGAAGAACAAGTGTTTACAAATTTATATGATCAAACTTACCGGATACACAAGGGGACAGGATCACACACAAAGCCAGCAATGACAGTTTTAGGGAAGTCTGGTCAGGAACTACTGCTGCAAAGATCTTCTAAATGTGCCACCTTGCTCAGTTCATGTCCCAGCCCACTTTTTTCATTCACAGACTATTTATATTCATGATCTATAAGTACGTCTTTATACACGGTCTTTATGAACAACAATGAGGTCACTGGGGACCGGACGTCGGTATTTATTTCATTTTTCATCTTTAATATAATAATAATAGTAATAATAAAGATAATTATTATTATTATTACTGAAAACAAGACAGTAAGAATTGGTAGGCTGCTAATCGATTACTAATCGGCTTTTATTTTGAAAATACTCTTCAGCGCGGTTTGCGGAACCGCACCGGAGCGACTGGGCCACTTTTATTTCAAGATAGGAAAGAAAGAAAGAAAGAAAGAAAGAAAGAAAGAAAGAAAGAAAGAAAGAAAGAAAGAAAGAAAGAAAGAAAGAAAGAAAGAAAGAAAGAAAGAAAGAAATAACATAAAAAAGATAGCTAAGCTTGTATTAAATTTTCACTTTAAGGATATTCCACGAAAGAAAGTCAAGACAAACACAAAATGAGTTGTCACAGCCGATTTATCAGTGCAAAGCCCTCTGGGTTAACCAAAGAGCCTCAGGGTAAATTCTCAAAAATGCTAAACGTGAGCGGAAAATATTTGGGGGAGAATTATTTATTTATTTATTTATTTATTTATTTATTTGGGGGGGGGGGGGTGTAAGTTGAAAGACGCAGTCAGTTGATTTCAATAATTATCACACAACACACAACAGGGGGTAAATTACAGAATTGAACACATCCAATAAGGGAGCGAGTGATGTCCTAACAGCAATAATACAGTGTAATCAGCACCCAATTTAAGATAAACGAGAGGAGGCTTATTTTGTCAAACTGTTTTTATATGTGCTGGTAGGCGAAAAACAACTTGAGGTTTTAAGGAAAATGAATCCAGAATAAACCCTCAGTGATGAATGTTTCACTCTTTGTTTCCAACAGACTTAGAAGGTAATCCACACAAATACAGAGGGGAAAAGGTTCAAGGCACTTCAAAGGTTTTTCTAGGAACTATAGGTGACACCACAAGAAAACAAATAAACTTTTCTTCAATGAAAAAAATAATTTTCATAATAAAAGAATATAACAAAATAATAAAAGAAGTTATTAAACTTCACAATCATCGCCACACTGCAGTAAGTTACACGATCTTTTTTTCTCACTTAAACAACTGAAAATAAAGTGCTCTGCTACTGGAAAGAGATTGAAAAGAAGTTTCTGTAAAACCAACTGAGATACTTTACCTTAACAAACAAAAACAAGTGTTATTGTTCTCACTGATGCAGCTGTACTGTCCCAGCATTTCTACCTTTAGCCACTAAAATACATGAACCAAGTTACTCTGCAGTTTCTCATCTTCATTCCAATTCTGCCATTTGTGCCAAATATGTTGAATCATTTATGTGTCTGGTTGTGGCACTGTGACTATTAAGTCTAGGGTAGAACAAACTCAGGGTCGCATGCAGAGCTCGTTAGGAAGTCGGTGCTATCCAGTAGACCGTTGTACTCATGCACAATACCCTCTGAAGGGTACAGTGGATCGCTGGGGATGGACACAGTCTGGCTGGAAGGCATCAGGTGGAGTGTACCAACTGGGAAAAGAAAGAGAACTTAGCGTGAGACCACAGTCACACTAAAAATAAATTTAACAGCAAGAATAAGTAAAATATTACACAGCAGCAATTTGAACCTTAGCATTAGATGACAAATATTCTGAAGAGAAAGAAACTACAATATTGTGTCTTAATCTGCAAACTTAATATAATGTGTTTTCACTGTAGGTCAGTGTGCTTTTGTGCAACTCTTAATCTTTGTTCAATAATTTGCAGATCTATTTGAGAATGCACCACTCTTAAAGTAACAAATTAGCTTCAATATCAGAAAGTTATGCATTCATTTTAAGAGTTATTATCTTTAATTGAAAGAAAAGTTGTCCTAATTTAGATTCAGTCAAATTCAAAAACATGTTGAATTTTGCTCTAATTTGTGTCATGTTTCTTTTTCATCGTTTCTGTGTTCGGCAGGACACTGATTACACTGCGTTGCACCCAAGTTTCTCTGCTCTGCAGTGAGTCAACAGAGTCTGGATGCCTGTAGAAAAGCTGACATCAATATTTCACTTATCCATACTAATATATTTTGGACACACTAACTTGTTTCCTCATACGATGGTGGTGGTTTTTGTGGGAATGGTTGTTCATGGTTTGGTGATGTGGTCATGAGCTCTGCTGGTGTTGGCTGGTAGGAGGCTCTCTGGTGGGAATGAGAGGTTTGAGTAGCGGTAGCCACCTCAGCTGTAAGCATACAAGTAACAAGAGATAAGAAATGTTACAGCTTTGGCCGTTGTACATGAAATGAAGGAGTGCAGCTATAAGTATCACCTGTTAGTGGTGATGGAGTACTTACACTCTTCTCCATTGGCAGCAATCTTGCACAAGTAGCTGCAGAAGCTGATAAAGAATGACAAGATACCAACGAGAAAGACGTAGTACATTTCACTCATGACAGCAGTGGTAGCAGGAAATGGATGTGTAGGAACAGTGTTCAGTCTGAAAAGGCAACAAAGAAATAATTATCTAATGCAAAAACAAAACAGAAGAAAATGTTGGGATTTATTGTTCAGCAAATCAAATTGAGGCAAAGCATAGCGACCAGAGTATGATTAAAAACCAGTAAGACCAGAGAATACACAAAAATTCAGCAGTCATATTTAAATCAAGTAACAGTTTATATAGGGGGGTGTGCGTAATCCTTTAGGCAGTTCTGACAGCATCTGCTTAATGTCCCAATTGTTGAAGTCCTTTGCTGTACTCCTTTTGTTCTGATCTTCACCTGCCTCGCTGACTGTAGCATAGTTTTTCTCACTTTCGATTTTGACTCCTACAAGGCGCATTTTTCCACCCTCGAAATTTCTGATTATTTCAGATAAAATAATAAGCAGTTGTTTAATTCAGATCAGATCAGAGCAGACGCACGTTGGCTTTATGGAGTTGTTAATTAAGCTCGAGTTTCGTTTCAGAGGCTGTGGTTCTGGGTGCTGTTTAACTGTACGTAAAGGGTGACTGAAACAAACTAATGTTAGAGAGTTAATGGAAGGTTTTTGTTTTTTTAAGTAACCTCATTGATATCGTCCTATAGCCGTCAGGGTTTTTTTTTTTGTTTTTAATTAAATGTTATTTTCGGTTTGAAGCCAAAATCACAGACTGCATGCCGAAACACGCAGTCCGATATGTGATGCTGATAAGAACACCTACACAGAGTTAAATATTTAAACTCACCGGATACACGATGGGACGGGAGCACATCCAGAGCCAACACGTCTTAGAGGAAGGGGTCTGATCTGAACCCCTTAACGCGAAACTACTTGCTGTAGATCTTCCACACACGTGGCCTCCACACTGAATGCATATTCCAGCCCACTGACAGCCTTCTTCCATTCACAGACAATTTACAATCATGATCTATAAGCACATCTTTTCTTATGAACATGGCAATAACAGTGAGGTCACAGAAGTCTGTTTGTTTATTTATTGTCGAATTAAAATCAAGACAGTAAAAATTGGCATGTTAACAATTAGTTTTTGACGCTTTAGATGGCTTTTACTTTGAAAATTCTCGACGGCAAGTTTGGCGAAACCGCACAGGTTCGAAACTCCGACACTTTTATTTCATAAGAGGAAAAAAACATATTGATAGTAAGTTTAATCGATCGTAATTTATTTGCTACTTCAAAGGTATTCCGTGCCAGAAAATCAATAACGACAAAATGAGTTTTCACAACTCTCATAATAATATTTAGGGCAGATTTATTAATCTGGTTTGGTTTACCAGCCAGAGCTGGACTGGCAAACTGGCAAACCTGCAATCTACCAGTTTCCGGCGCCCCGATGGGTAAGTGTATTTTTAATTATTTTTGTTGTCAATATCACTACACAGGCTAAGGTACAGGATGTACAGTACAGGGAGTGCAGAATTATTAGGCAAGTTGTATTTTTGAGGAATAATTTTATTATTGAACAACAACCATGTTCTCAATGAACCCAAAAAACTCATTAATATCAAAGCTGAATGTTTTTGGAAGTAGTTTTTAGTTTGTTTTTAGTTTTAGCTATTTTAGGGGGATATCTGTGTGTGCAGGTGACTATTACTGTGCATAATTATTAGGCAACTTAACAAAAAACAAATATATACCCATTTCAATTATTTATTTTTACCAGTGAAACCAATATAACATCTCCACATTCACAAATATACATTTCTGACATTCAAAAACAAAACAAAAACAAATCAGCGACCAATATAGCCACCTTTCTTTGCAAGGACACTCAAAAGCCTGCCATCCATGGATTCTGTCAGTGTTTTGATCTGTTCACCATCAACATTGCGTGCAGCAGCAACCACAGCCTCCCAGACACTGTTCAGAGAGGTGTACTGTTTTCCCTCCTTGTAAATCTCACATTTGATGATGGACCACAGGTTCTCAATGGGGTTCAGATCAGGTGAACAAGGAGGCCATGTCATTAGTTTTTCTTCTTTTATACCCTTTCTTGCCAGCCACGCTGTGGAGTACTTGGACGCGTGTGATGGAGCATTGTCCTGCATGAAAATCATGTTTTTCTTGAAGGATGCAGACTTCTTCCTGTACCACTGCTTGAAGAAGGTGTCTTCCAGAAACTGGCAGTAGGACTGGGAGTTGAGCTTGACTCCATCCTCAACCCGAAAAGGCCCCACAAGCTCATCTTTGATGATACCAGCCCAAACCAGTACTCCACCTCCACCTTGCTGGCGTCTGAGTCGGACTGGAGCTCTCTGCCCTTTACCAATCCAGCCACGGGCCCATCCATCTGGCCCATCAAGACTCACTCTCATTTCATCAGTCCATAAAACCT